CTTTTGTAAAGGGAAACCATGCTTCACCAATCTATTAGAATTCTTTGAAGATACTAAAAGCAATGGACTAGGGTGATCCAGTTGGTGGAAGCATTCTTGGACTTTAAGAAAGCCTCGGACAAACCCTCTAACAAAAGGCTCTTAAGCAAAGTCAGCAGTCAAGGGAGAAAAGGGAAGGTTTTCTCATGGATCAGTAATTGCTTTTGTAAAGGGAAACCATGCTTCACCAATCTATTAGAATTCTTTGAAGATACTAAAAGCAATGGACTAGGGTGATCCAGTTGGTGGAAGCATTCTTGGACTTTAAGAAAGCCTCGGACAAACCCTCTAACAAAAGGCTCTTAAGCAAAGTCAGCAGTCAAGGGAGAAAAGGGAAGGTTTTCTCATGGATCAGTAATTGAATAAAATGTAGGAAACAGAAGGTAGGAAAAAGTGGTCAGTTTTCATAATGGAGAGAGATAAAAAGCAGGATCCTGAAGGATCTGTACTGGAACCAATGCTGTTCACCATATTCATAAATGATCTAGAAAAGGAGGGGAACTGTGAGGTGACAAAATTTGCAGGTGATACAAAATTATTCCAGATAGACAAGTCCAAAGCTGATTGCCAACAGTGACAAATGGATCTCTGTGACTGGGCAACAAAATAGACAAAATTCAGTATTAATAAGTGCAAAATAATACAGTTTAGAAAATGTAAGTCCAACTATATACACAAAGGCTGTGTCTAGACTGGCAAGTTTTTCCGCAAAATCATCTGCTTTTGCAGAAAAACTTGCCAGCTGTCTACACTGGCCACTTGAATTTCCGGAAAAGCACTGACGATCTCACGTAAGATCGTCAGTGCTTTTCCGGAAATACCATGCTGCTCCCGTTCGGGCAAAAGTCTTTTTCCGAAAGACTTTTGCACAAAAGGGCCAGTGTAGACAGCACAGTAGTGTTTTCCACAAAAAAGCCCCGATCCCGAAAATGGCGATCGCGGCTTTTTTGCGGAAAACTGCGTCTAGATTGGCCACAGACGCTTTTCTGCAAAAAGTGCTTTTGCGGAAAAGCATCCTGCCAATCTAGACGTGCTTTTCCGAAAAAGACGCTTTTCTGCAAAAAGTGCTTTTGCGGAAAAGCATCCTGCCAATCTAGACGCGCTTTTCCGAAAATGCATTTAACGGAAAAGTTTTCTGTTAAAAGCATTTTCGGAAAATCATGCCAGTGTAGACGTAGCCAAAGTTATGGGGTCTAAATTAACTATTACCACTAAAGGAGATCTTGGAATCATCATAGATAGTACTCTGAACACATCTGCTCATGGGCAGCAGCAGTCAAAAAAGCTAAGAATGTTAGCAACCATTAGGAAAGGGATAGATCATAAGACAGAAAATATCATAATGCCAATATACAAATCCATGCTCTGCTCACACCTTGAATACCAACTGCAATTCTGGTCACCTCATCTCATAAAAGATAAATTAGAATTGGAAAAGAGAAGGGCAACAAAAATGATTAAGGGTATGGAACAGCTTTCATACAAGGAGAGATTCAATGAACTGGTACTGTTCAGCTTTAAAAAAAAAAGACAGCTAAGGGGGGAAATGATAAATGTCTATATAAAATCATTACTGGTATGGAAAAAAAGGGGATAGGGAAGTTTATTTTACCCCCTCACATAACACAAGAACCATGTGTTATGAAATTAGTAGGCAACAGGTTTAAAGCAAGATAAGAAAGTGTTTCCTTACACAATGCATTGTTACCCTGTAAAACTCTTTGACAGAAGATATTGCGAAGGCCACAAGTATAACTTGAGTTGAGAAAAGAACTGGATTAAGTTAATGGAAAATAGGTTCTTCAGTAGCTATTTGCCAAGATGGTCAGGGAGCCAACCCCATGCTTAGGGAGTCCTTACACCACTGACCACCAGAAGTTGGGACTGGAAAACTTGATCACTGCCCTTTTCTGTTCATTCCCTCTATGGCAATATGCCATGTGGCAGTGGCCACTTTCAGAAGACAGGATACTGGGCTAGGTGGACCACTGGTCTAACCTAGTATAGCCATTCTTATGACACTAATATGGGGAAGGATTGCAAGCTTGCTTAATTCCAGCTAATTTAAATAGGAGTTTAGAACACTGAGCACCTCTCAAGGAGCTGAACATTTTGCAGGACAGAAGGTATCGGACAAAATCCTTTTTCCTTTGTAGCCAACATAAAAACATGACATAATTCATGTCAACAAGAAAGCAGAATTAAGCAGATTATTTTGTTAAAAAGTTGTGTCAAACTAACCTTTTAAATAAAAGGCTCTTGTTTCTAAAAGTTGACAGTTTTTCATCATTCCTTCTGTCCAGATAGCAACCAATAACAAATCCCATTGGACACAAAATGTGGACCCAATGTTCACGCACAAAGTTGACAACATTCACCATGACTGCTAAAAGGAAAAAAAAAAGTTGGAGGGTTCAGGAGGAGACAGAAAAACCTGAGCACAGAAATGACTGCCTATACCTATAATATACCTATCTATAATGGGCTTTTTTCAATACAATCCTGAATATTTGAAGGCCAGCACACATTCTAACAAGAGAAAAATGCTGCTCCCAAATCCACATGAGATTCCTGGATACAGGACTCTATATTGAATTTGCAGTACAGAGTAGAATTTTGCCCTAAATGAACAGGAATGTAACCCAAATAATAAACTATTTTAAGGTGGTCAAAGGTTGAATATTTGCATTGATTATGGAAAATGCCCTCACCAGAAATCATTGTAACAATGCACCAGTTACCAGGAGTCTGTCTTGCTGTAAAACAGAATACAGTAAACTTCCAATAATCCGGTGAATAAAATGTAGGAAACAGAAGGTAGGAAAAAGTGGTCAGTTTTCATAATGGAGAGAGATAAAAAGCAGGATCCTGAAGGATCTGTACTGGAACCAATGCTGTTCACCATATTCATAAATGATCTAGAAAAGGAGGGGAACTGTGAGGTGACAAAATTTGCAGGTGATACAAAATTATTCCAGATAGACAAGTCCAAAGCTGATTGCCAACAGTGACAAATGGATCTCTGTGACTGGGCAACAAAATAGACAAAATTCAGTATTAATAAGTGCAAAATAATACAGTTTAGAAAATGTAAGTCCAACTATATACACAAAGGCTGTGTCTAGACTGGACTCAGGGAAGCCCGGGACAGAGCTGCTCCAATTGTCCAGCTGCCTGGAGCACTTCCAGGTTCCAGGTGGTGCCAGACTATCAGGAGTGCCGGACCACTAGATGCCGGACAACTAGAGTTTTACTGTACTTGTTTTCAACAATCATTTATAAAGCGGGACTTTCTATAGCATTCATCACAAACATTTATAAAGCGGGACTTTCTATAGCAAAAGGGCCAGTGTAGACAGCACAGTAGTGTTTTCCACAAAAAAGCCCCGATCCCGAAAATGGCGATCGCGGCTTTTTTGCGGAAAACTGCGTCTAGATTGGCCACAGACGCTTTTCTGCAAAAAGTGCTTTTGCGGAAAAGCATCCTGCCAATCTAGACGCGCTTTTCCGAAAATGCATTTAACGGAAAAGTTTTCTGTTAAAAGCATTTTCGGAAAATCATGCCAGTGTAGACGTAGCCAAAGTTATGGGGTCTAAATTAACTATTACCACTAAAGGAGATCTTGGAATCATCATAGATAGTACTCTGAACACATCTGCTCATGGGCAGCAGCAGTCAAAAAAGCTAAGAATGTTAGCAACCATTAGGAAAGGGATAGATCATAAGACAGAAAATATCATAATGCCAATATACAAATCCATGCTCTGCTCACACCTTGAATACCAACTGCAATTCTGGTCACCTCATCTCATAAAAGATAAATTAGAATTGGAAAAGAGAAGGGCAACAAAAATGATTAAGGGTATGGAACAGCTTTCATACAAGGAGAGATTCAATGAACTGGTACTGTTCAGCTTTAAAAAAAAAAGACAGCTAAGGGGGGAAATGATAAATGTCTATATAAAATCATTACTGGTATGGAAAAAAAGGGGATAGGGAAGTTTATTTTACCCCCTCACATAACACAAGAACCATGTGTTATGAAATTAGTAGGCAACAGGTTTAAAGCAAGATAAGAAAGTGTTTCCTTACACAATGCATTGTTACCCTGTAAAACTCTTTGACAGAAGATATTGCGAAGGCCACAAGTATAACTTGAGTTGAGAAAAGAACTGGATTAAGTTAATGGAAAATAGGTTCTTCAGTAGCTATTTGCCAAGATGGTCAGGGAGCCAACCCCATGCTTAGGGAGTCCTTACACCACTGACCACCAGAAGTTGGGACTGGAAAACTTGATCACTGCCCTTTTCTGTTCATTCCCTCTATGGCAATATGCCATGTGGCAGTGGCCACTTTCAGAAGACAGGATACTGGGCTAGGTGGACCACTGGTCTAACCTAGTATGGCCATTCTTATGACACTAATATGGGGACGGATTGCAAGTTTGCTTAATTCCAGCTAATTTAAATAGGAGTTTAGAACACTGAGCACCTCTCAAGGAGCTGAACATTTTGCAGGACAGAAGGTATCGGACAAAATCCTTTTTCCTTTGTAGCCAACATAAAAACATGACATAATTCATGTCAACAAGAAAGCAGAATTAAGCAGATTATTTTGTTAAAAAGTTGTGTCAAACTAACCTTTTAAATAAAAGGCTCTTGTTTCTAAAAGTTGACAGTTTTTCATCATTCCTTCTGTCCAGATAGCAACCAATAACAAATCCCATTGGACACAAAATGTGGACCCAATGTTCACGCACAAAGTTGACAACATTCACCATGACTGCTAAAAGGAAAAAAAAAAAAAAAAGTTGG